TTCAAGGCCCAGTGGCCACAGGCCCCTGACTGGTGCTCTGACATGGGAGAGGTCAGCTTTCATGTCTCTTCTCTGACATGAGTCCTGTGACTCAGGACTCTGCACACCTACATCCACATACCCAGAGTGAACAGCACAGACAGCCTGGACATGAGTAACTGCACTGTAGGAGGAAGCCCACCAATGTCTCTTTCTTCAGGGATAGAAAAGGCGACATTTGCTTCCATCATAACACCTGGAGTCTGGCGTTCTGGGAACTGAACAGAACTGCTTGGGGGAGGTTGTCATCCAACCTCCTGAAGGTCCCATCTTTTGTGTCAGGTATGGCAGTGTGGAGGCCAGCTGGAGATCATCCCCTGCTCCGTGGTAGGCCACGTGTTCCGAACCAAGAGTCCTCACACCTTCCCCAAGGGCACCAGTGTCATTGCACGCAATCAGGTGCGCCTGGCTGAGGTCTGGATGGACAGCTACAAGAAGATCTTCTACAGGAGAAATCTGCAGGCAGCAAAGATAGTCCAGGAGGTGAGACCCTAGTGGCCGGGTAGCATCTGGTGAAAGGATCATGGACACCAGGCCCATGGTCAACTGCCCAGTGCAGGGCCATCCCATCTCTATCTTCCTGTCTCCCTTCATCCATCAGAACTCTGCAAGCTAGCCCAATGAACACAGGGCTCTGGGGCTAGAGGAGAACAGGGTGAGCTGTTGTGGTACCTCCCAGGGGAGTGGGGAGGGTGGAGGGGTTGGTCCCAGAATCACTCAGGGGAGAAGAAAGGAAGGAAAGGGATGAGAAGGAAAACCCATCACTGGAGAAATGGTTCTGACAGGCTCAGAGTTGAAGACCAGGAGGGCTGACTGGGGAGTCCCAGGAGGATGAGGGAGTGTTGTAAGTAGTGAGGTCCCCAAGGTAAGGCAAGGGGTCAGGTATTGCTGTGAGGCTGAGCCAGTAGCCACGATGAGCAGGAGAGAGGCCTCAGTACTCCATGTTGTCTGGACTGCTCGACCCAGACATGAATAGCCACGATGAGCAGGAGAGAGGCCTCAGTACTCCATGTTGTCTGGACTACTGCTCGACCCAGACATGACGACCTGGGCTGTGGCACTGACCTTTTAGAGGACTGACTTGGTTGACAGAATAACTTCGGTGACATTTCGGAGCGACTGCAACTGAGGGAACAGCTACACTGCCACAACTTTTCCTGGTATCTGCACAATGTCTACCCAGAGATGTTTGTCCCTGACCTGAACCCCACCTTCTATGGAGCTGTAAGTTAACCTGCCCATCCCCATGGTGCCCTAAAGAAGTCAAGACCATGCACCCCCAGAGCAGCCAGGCCAGGAGGACAGGAAAAATAATTTGGGGCTTCCTCCAATAGTTAAAAACTACCAAAGAGGGAAACCCATGAGTATTGATTGAGTGTTTAGTCCATGAGAATACCCATGAAAGTGTGTAAATACACATCGCTGGTCCCATGCTCGCTGTTTCCGTCCAGATCTTGAACAAGGCCCAGGTGATGCTGAGGGTCAGCTTCCAAGTGCTGAAGACCTCTCTGACCTGGCATACTAAGGGCCTACCCATCTTACCCCACAGAGAGCACCCAGCCCTGCCCTGCCCAGCCTTAGGGCTCTTCAGCCACACTTTGCCATTAGTTCCAGGCATCTGGGTTCATGCCCAGAGGGGGAAAGTCATTCCAATTGCTCCCCCACACCCAACTGAGTAATCCTGTTTCCCCTCTGCTCACCTCTCTGCAGATCAAGAATCTGGGCACCAATCAGTGTTTGGATGTAGGTGAGAACAACCGCGGAGGGAAGCCCCTCATCATGTATGTCTGCCACAACCTTGGCGGCAATCAGGTAGAGAAAATAATGCTCACCCTGGGCAGCCCCTACAGAAACCAATCTCTGAGGCACTTCCTCTTTCCAGGGGGCCCCCTTTCTCTATTCTAAATAGCCCTTTTCTGGGGCCTCCCATAGCAGAAATGCAGGAAGCAGCTAGGCTAAATGGGAAAGCATGCTGCTCACAGACAAGGTCTGCAGTTAATGCACACAGACGAGGTCTGTGACATGATGCAACAGATGACTGAGTCAGGGACACAGAGTTGGCATCATTCTGGGCACTAGAGGATGAAGGGATACTGACAATAACAGAGAAGGCTGTGGAAGAGACTAGCTGCTGGCGGCTGTGGAAAACTGTTGAGAATTCTCTCACCCACACCTATACTTTATCCTCAATGCCCACCCCCAGCCAGAAACTACCACTCTGACCCCCAGATAGCCGCCTACTAATGCCCTGGAAACTTTCCCATGCCCCACAGTGCCCCAGTACATCCCTGAGGGGTAACTTCTACTCCCCGTCTTAGTTTGTGTTCTATTGCTGTGATAAAACACCATGACCAAAAGAGGAAAGGGTTTTTAGACACAGGTCTCACTGTGAAGCCTGGCTGTCCTGGAACTCATTATATAGACCAGGCTGGCCTCAAACTCACAGAGATCCACCTGCCTCTGCCTCCTGAGTGCTGAGATTAAATCTGTGCACAAACACTCCTGAAGGGTTTATTTTAGGTCACACTTCTACATCACAGTCTATCGTTGAGGGAAGTCAGGGCAGGACTTGGAGGCAGGAACTGAAGCAGAGGCCATGGAGAACCCCGTGCTTACTAGCTTACTCTCCAAGCTTATACTCAGTTGGCTTTCTACCTACCAGTATCTCCTGTCCAGGAGCACCACTTCCCACAGTGGGCTGGGCCCTGGCATCAGTCAAGGAAATGCCCTGAAGCCCTGCCTACTGGTCAATCTGATGGGGACATTTTCTCAATTGAGTCTTCTTCCAGATGACCCGAGTTTGTTTAAAGGTAACAAAAACCAACCCAAATGCTCCTATCCACTGTCCCCTCAGACACCCAGGACTCAGATCTGGTAAATATACGGTATTTAAAAACAGAGCTGATGCAAGATAAAGGGTAGCTGGAACCAATTGCCAAAAAGTGCAAATGAAAACAAAGCCACGTGAAGGCAGATGCAGAGACAACTAGCTTTAGGATGGTTTTAGGGGGTTCATTGGCGAATATCTTTTATTGCAATGGTGATTTAATTAGCAAACCCAGAACCATCAGGTGACTGTGATGGCACATGCCGTGCATGGGCTGCATGGCACAATGTTCCAGTAGTTGGAAGGCTGAGGCAGAAGGATCATGAGTTTGAGGCCAGCCTGGTCTACATGACAGAGATCAAGACCAGCCTGGGCTACAAAACAAGACTCCATGTCACACACACACACACAAAAGTAGGGCTGTTTTTCCAGTGTATGACTTCACGATGGTGCTTAAAATAAGACTAAGGTAATCTTAATTTATAGTTCAGGTTATATGCACTGTTAATCCAGTATAATCCGATGTGGCAACAATCATGGCAGTGACACAAATCACTAAAAGTCTAAGTCTCGGCACAGCCTCACTTCCTCCCCCCCCCCACCCCCCCAGGAAGCCATCTAACTGGCAAGGGCAAGTAACTCTGGGAGGTAGTGGGGAAGCCGCCCACCTGCTCCACGGGACATCTTTGTCTTGACTTCCAGTACTTTGAGTACACATCCCAGCGGGACCTTCGTCACAACATTGGGAAGCAGCTGTGTCTACATGCCAGTGCTAGCACACTGGGCCTTAGGAGCTGTCAGTTCACTGGCAAAAATAGCAAAGTGCCCAAGGACGAGGAATGGGAGTTGACTCAGGTGAGTCAGTGGCCCAGAAAGCTCAGGAACCTGAGTCCAGAGCACCACATTTCCTTCTTTATTGTCTTCTTCTTCATCTTCTGCTGGGACATCATGGGAGGATTAGAGCAGGGTTGAATGCACAGTGGGTGTGGACTCCATCAATGGTTGCTGATGTCTGGCTAATAAAAAAAAAAAAAAATGGAGCAGAGATGATGATCCAGGTGCTTCTGCCATGGGGCACATTTTAAGGCTGAGTCCACATAGATGAAGGTGAAGAGTCCCTCAAGGTGCTCACCTGCCTCCTTGTGCCAAGTGCAGAGCAAGGCACAGACATTGTCTCTCTTAATAGTCTAGGAGCTCCGTCCCTAAAGACAACATCCACGTTTCCACAAAGTAGCCAGATGACATTCAACAAGTTTGTCTGACCCGAGCCCTCACCACTGGAAATGGCAGGCTGGATTCAGGTCTTTCTAAGTCTGACTGGGAGTTCAGGGTCTTTCCCTGGCACCACATGGCTGTGAAATGGGTGTGGGAATTCACATCGCTAAGCCCAAGCTCTGATCACTTAGTCACCTACTCAGAAAAGGTGAATGGCCTTAACCGTGAACCTATCAGGAAGGACAGAGCCAAAGTTTAACCAGAAGCAGAAAGGGGGCAGGCGGCAGTGGCCCCAGGTTTTTGAGCCTGGCCATCCCCGGGGAAAGGGGAAGCCCTGAAAGGGTTTTTGTTGTTGTTGTTTGTATTTTTCTAACAGCCATGGTCTTGCAGTCTTCTATGACAGCCATAAGGCTAAAGCTGGGCCTAGAGCCCAGCATCTATATGGGGTGTTCATCTTTGGGAAGGAATTGGAATTGTCCCCCTTGTATCTCGTTTGGTTTCCTTTGCCTTTTGTCTCTGCCCTTGTCTCTTCATCCTCAGGTTGACCCTCTGCTGTGTTGCCTTTTAGGATCAACTCATCAGGAACTCAGGATCGGGCACCTGCCTGATATCGCAGGACAAAAAACCAGCCATGGCCCCCTGTAACCCCAGTGACCCCCACCAGCTCTGGCTGTTTGTCTAGGCCTGGGATCACCCCCACTGCATGTCCATCAAGCCCCTCATGAAGTGGGGCCACCAAGCACCTGGAAGTCTTCTCCCCTGGCTCCTCTGGAAGTCTGAGAGTTGGATTTCCAAGCCCAGTGGCCATCAAGGCAGGATCTTCTTAATTCTTGCAACAATACTGGTCCCATTTTCTTTCCTCTATGCCAGTGGAAGAGACCAGGAGGTCACATACTGTTTGGCCTAAAGCTTTCCTCATCTCCTAGAGACAGTGGCCTCCAAAGCCGACTAAAACTATGTCCTACGGAAGGACTGGTTAGCACACCCTAGCACCAAACCATTCTGACTTCTACAGAGTGCCTTTACCCTACAGCATCTGTGCAATTATCCATGGGAAGAGACGGGAAAGGAGCCCCCACTGTACCAATAAGAAGGTCGTGACTAAGCTGGGATATAGTCCGGGAAAAGGCCGGGGTTTGACTCCCTAACACCACAGAAAACAGAAAAGGAAGGCCAGGGGAGGAAATCAGAGACAGAAATAGAGAGGCTTTTCTGTAATCACATGGCAGGCAGGTGGCTCAAGCTGGGGCTGAGGCCTCATCTTTGGTGCTGAGCCAGGGCTCCTTTCATCATGCAAGAACACTAGACCATGCCCTGCCAGCCTTTCTTTCTTTCGTTCCTTCTTTCTTTCTTTCTTCCTTCCTTTTTTTTTGTTTTGTTTTGTTTTTTGAGACAGGGTTTCTCTGTAGCTTTGGAGCCTATCCAGGCACTCGCTCTAGAGACCAGACTGGCCTCTAACTCACAGAGATCTGCCTGCCTCTGCCTCCCAAGTGCTGGGATTAAAGGCGTGCACCACCAACGCCAGTCGCCTTGCCATTTCTTGACCCCTCTCTGACCATTCTGACTGGATGGCCGGCCTCCAGATAGCCAGGTAGCAAGGTAGGAGACCACACTGAGAATCCTGGGTTGTTAGTGTTGAAGGAAGTTCATGGGCTGAGGTGCTGGTAAGTCTCAACTCGTAAGGCTTGGCCCCTTTGTTCTAACCCATATATAAGGAGATAAAGAGTAAAGCAGGAACTAGGCATGAAGGCACAGGCTTGCAGTCTTGGTACTTAGAGACTAATATATCTTAAATCCAAGGCCAGCCTGGGCTACAGAGTTCAACCTTGTCTTGAAAGCAATAAAAAATACCATGGGGAATATGAGGGCAATGCCTCGAAGCCCTTGAATTAGGATAGACCAATTTTTTATTTATTTTTCAGCAAAAGCTAAATAGGTGTTTTGTACAAGGTCATTTGGCAAGATGCTTGGCAGCTCTGAGGCCAAACACCAGATAAGGCTAATCAGAGTCCTAGCAAGCCTGAGGGTTCAGGGACTGTGTGCAGATGACTGAAGGACTAACGCCATCAACTGTCCTTGCACAAGTGCCCTGTGTGGAGCCAACCTGAGGATGCCAACCCTTCTACAATCAACTTGGATCCCACTGTTGCTCTACCTGGAAGAAAATAGAAATGTCCAGCAAGGCTTTGAGGGACTTCAGTATCGAGCTGTCACCACATGAGGGCACCATGGGATCACAGCTTCCTCCTGCTCCATGCACCTAACTGCACACTGCAGCTAGTCTCCCAGGGAGACAGGGGTGGTCTAGCCAAAGGGAAGGAAACTGGCCAAGCTGTGGTCCAGCATGGGGGAAGGGAAGGGAGACTGACATGGGGACCTGGTGGGAATAAAGGTTTTATGATATTGGTAGATGGATGCTGTTTGTATTGGGCTCCACTCTCTGCCTTGGCTGAAACAAATTGGGAAGAACCACATTGTTCTGTTACAACCACCGTCACTTACCTGCAAACATCCTCTAGCCAGTGTGTTGGGTGTGAAGTGTGTGCAGGTGTGAGATGTAAGATGGGAGGGACCCTTCCCCCCGCGGACTCCCACTCTAAATGTAAGCGAGACCCAGAATGTGCTAGTAAAGGAGTTAAAAGGAGTCAGGAAAGGCCCCATACAGTGGCAGTTGACCCCCATCAAAGGAAGACTAGAGAACAGATGTCACACAAGCAGCTCCTCAGCATGAGCCAAACCACAGGTGAAGGTAGAAGGAGCCTGGGAAACACAGTAGGATGAGGTGATGATGGGAACAGAACCTAGAAGGTGGCTTTGGTGGGTCCCAAGGCAGAGGCAGGCAGATGTCAGTGAGAGGCCAGCCTGGTCTACATAGCAAGTTTCAGGACAGACTCCAAAACAATACAGAGAAACCCTGTCTTGGAAAATAGAAGGGGGGAAGGGAGGTTGCCTGATGGTAGCAGTGTATGCCTTTAAATCCTAGCCCTCAGGAGGCAGAGGCAGGTGGATCTCTGTGAGTTTGAGGCCAGCCTGCTCTACAGAGAGTTCCAGCTAGAGCTATATAGCAAGACCTCTTCCCCCCCCCAAAAAAAGAGGGGGACTGACAAGATGATTCAGTGGTTAGGGGCTCTGTCTGCTCATCCAGGGGACCTGGGTTCAATTCCCAGCAGCCACAAAGGGACTCAAAACTGTGTAACTCCAGTTCTGGAAGATTCATGTCCTCTTCTGGCCTCTGAGCACACCAGGCACATGTGTGGTACACAGATACACATGCAGCAAAACACTGGTACGCATAAAAAAGAATTTAAAGTTATTTTAAATTTTAAAAAACTAAAAAGGAATTTAAGAGTTGGGAGAGTTTGGTCAGTAGCATGGGCCAGGCATGCACCAAGCCCAGGGTTTGGTTCTCTAAGCCAGGTAAAGTAGATGTGATAGACAGCACAAGCCAGTAATTCCTGCATTCAGGAGGTAGAAACAAGAAGATGAGATGTTCACATCAGTCACATAGAGGGTTGGAGACCGATCTTGGCTACAATGACAGCAGTATGTATGGATCACATTGGCGGATTCTAGTCCTTTCTTCAGATCTTAAGCAAAAGCACTTTCATGGGCCCCTGAATGCATTCTGGGCCGTAAGTATTCAGCCTAATGGGCCAACCCTGCCCCTACACGAGGAGGTTGAGTTCCAGCTGAGGAAAGCTCAGAGAACTCACAGCTAACAGAAGCTGCCACAGGAACGGAAAAGGACCGTATGCCCTCCTACCCCAGAGTAGGCCCAGGTTAGGGGAATGGAATGGGGTGTTGAAAAGACTCAGAGTTGGCTGACCTTGTCCTAACTCAACACCTTACTTAAAGCCCACCCCAAGACTATTCTCAGACCTACCAAGAGTCCTGCTTTCTCAACCTGCTGCTTCCATAGAACTACCTTCTGATACTTGAGTTTTGAGACAGGCCACAAGTAGCCCAGTCTGGTCTCATTTAGCCCACGCTGGCTCTCACCCCCTCCCTAGTCTCCGGCCTCCTCCACCTTCTAAGCAATGGAACTGCAGATGTAAGCAACCACACATGGAGGAGGCTAGTTTTCAAATACATACAATGATGAAGGATGGGATGGGGTTTCACTGGGTCAGACCAAGAACAGAATTGGTCCTGCCCCTAAAGACATTAGAGTCTGTGATGTTGGACTATACACAAGAGGGGGCTCTCAAGCTTTCTCTTATACACCTCATCCTGGACCAGCAACTGCCTTTCAGCCTCCAGAGAAGCAGGAAGGTGGGAGAGGAATGACAAGATGCCTTGGATTCTCCAGCCAGCTCAGTCTTCTCCATGAGATTGCCTGGTTTTGGATGCTGGAGGCAGACTGCAGAAGGAGCCCTTCAAGCTACCTGGGCATTCTCCTGAAGACTCAGGGGACATACTGCAGAGTCCTGCAAGTGCACTCCCCAGCCTCTCCCAGCCCCAAAGCCTGGACTCTGAGGTTGGTAGGTGAAAAGGGCCCTAGGGAAATCAGGGCAGCCCCCAGGCTCCACTACACTGCTGCTCCCACGCACTCTGCTCTGAGATCTGCAATGACCCTGATCTTTTTGTGCCCAGCTGATGGTCCTCTGTCCTCTCTGGGGCACACTGACCTCTTACCTCCTTCCTCATCTAACCCTTCCCCTTGTGCATTCTCGGCCCTCCATCCTCATGGCCTTCCTTCTCCCAGTCCTGAGGGTCCCCTCTTCCATCCTGCCCACATTCCCTCGCCCTGAGAGTTCTGTAGCTTTCCTTTTGAGCCTTACCAAAGCGGTTTCTCTCCATAGCATCTTCTCTGCTTTGCTCCTGGCTCAAGCCTACATCCATGTCCTGGAGAAAAGCCCCATCTCCATCTTTGGACATAGAGAAGCTGCTGTATCTCCCCATCTCCCCAATCCCTACATGCACAGGACAGGTCTCTGCATTATAGTTCCACAGTGTACAGTGGAGCAGTGTGGATGCTGAGATGCTGTCAGTGGGAGGTACATCTGAAAGAAAAGCCATCTCATTCTTCATTTTAACTTTCTATTATCACATCTACTTATCTACATATGTGTGTGTGTGTCTGTGTTTGTGTGTGTGTGTGTCTGTGTGTGTGTCGGTGTGTGTGTGTCTGTGTCTGTGTCTGTGTCTGTGTCTGTGTATCCACACTCAAGCACCTGAGCACATGCATGTGGAGGTCAGAAGACAACTTGCAAGATTCCACTCACTCCTTATACCATGCAAGGTCTAGGAATTGAACTGGGGTCAACAGTTTGGTGGCAAAGGCTATTAACCCTCTCAGCCATCTCGATGGCTCTCTCTCCATCTTATTTCTCAAAAGAACAGAAAGAAAGGAAGAAAGAAAGAAAGAAAGAAAGAAAGAAAGAAAGAAAGAAAAGAAAAGAAAGAAAGGAAGAAAGAAAATAGGATTTTCTGGATGCTTTTCAACTGAAACAGGTTAACTGAGTGCCAACCTTGTTCTGTCTTGGAATAGCAGATAAATGAGTTGACTTGAACAGATAAATGAGTTTCATTTGTACTTCTTTGTCACCTGTGCTTTCCCTGCCTTCTACCCACAGCCCTGCCCAGCTGGCAAGAGGAAGGTCAGCAAAGCTGCTGATAAGAGGAGTATAAAGTGGGTTCAGCTCATGGCAAGGGCAGTGGTCTACTCTCACGGCAACATGTTGCGCTTCCTGGTGTTGGCCTCCCTGGTCCTGTATGGTAAGTGGGTCTTTGGCCTGAGTTCTGAGGGAAGGGGGTTTGAGCAGGAGGGTCAGAAAGTCTCTAAGCCCAGGCTAGCTCCTGATCTCAGAGGAAGGTGGAAAGCTATGACTGTCAGTCTAGCAGAAACCTTGCTCTCCTAGAGCAAAAGACAGGCAAGACTGAGGAGCATGGCCTGACTGGCCATGCAGGACTGAGGAGCACAGACTGACTGCCCATGCAGGACTGAAGAGCTGTGACTGGCCATCCAGGTGTCTTCTGGGTGGCAGGTACCTGAGCCAAGAAGCATAAAGAAGCCCCTTTGGGCGTTCCCCACTAACCCTCTTGACTGCAGGACACCCCCAGCTTGACTGCTATCTATGGCTCCTGGAGAATCCTGCTGAAGCATGGGGAAGGGTTTTCTCCAGCTGAGGGGCTACCTAGAGCTAGAGAAGAGCATGGCTCCCTGGCCCCTAACCTGGTGGTTTGGGAAAGGTCTTTCACTGCAAGTCAGAGTTCTCATGCACCCCAAAGAAGCAAAAGGTGCTCTGAGGCTCTGCTTTCAAAAGAGGCAAGAGGAGTGCAGACAACTCGGGCCTGGGCCCCCCAAGCCTGTTTCAGGAGAGCTGTAAATTTGCAGACAAAGCTAACAATCTTCAAAACATAGCTGCCGCTCCCCACCCCCGCCCTGGCTGACCCCATGCTTAGTCATCACTCACTTTTCTTCTGTCCCACAAAGGACACAGTACCCAGGACTTTCCAGAAACCAATGCACGGGTGGTTGGAGGGACTGAGGCCCAGAGGAACTCTTGGCCATCTCAGGTGGGTGTTTCCCCTGCCCAGGCTTTTATCCAAACAAGAGATGCTATGTACATGCCCTAAAAATTATTTTACATGTGTATGCGTATTTACCCTCAGGCAGCTCACTTGCTGTCTAATTCTGAATTTTAAAGATGTGTGGGACCAGACTGAGGTGGAACGATAAATGCAGAAGACTGGGAGAGGGAACTTATATACAGGGTCTCCTGGGCATGCACTCAATCGTGAGACAGACAGACAGACAGACAGACAGACAGACAGACAGACAGACAGACAGACAGACAGACAGACAGACAGACAGACAGACAGACAGAGACAGAAGTGCCAGAGTGCCACAGCACAGCTAAGCCTTCTGACATGTTTGTGGCAGGGCCTCTCATGCTTCCGCCATTGCACTGAATATTTCAAGCTAGCACCAACACCTCAAGTCCGGGTTTTGATTTGCTGTGTGAGACAGGGTCTCGACATCTTCCGCCATTGCACTGAATATTTCAAGCTAGCACCAACACCTCAAGTCCAGGTTTTGATTTGCTGTGTGAGACAGGGTAGCCCTGGCTGGCCTGGAACTGTGGGTATAAACCAGGCTGATGTCAAACACATAGAATCTGTCTGCCTCTGCCTCCCAAGTGCTGGGATGGACACAGCAGTTCCTTATGTGGGTTCTGAGGATTCATACCCAGGTTATCAGGTTTGCATATAGCAAGTGATTTTTACTTGTGACCCTACCTTTATTCCTTCCTTCTGTAGTGTGAGGGTTCGAACCCAGCACCTCGCTCATGCCTGGCAGATGCTCTTCCTCTGAACATCTCACCCCACAAGCTGTTTTCATTGTCCCTGTGATGGCCTGTGTGGTACAGTTACAGACAATGTGCCAGGTGGACCCAAGAGGCTCCACACACCCTAAAACATACATGCATCCACTACTCCATAGTGTGTGTCCCATATGCCAAAAACACAGGGCATGATGTTCCTTTGGCTAATGTTTCCATGTCCTTAACAGGATGCTTGGGCCTGACTAACCACAGATATGAATGGATGAAGGTGGCACACTAATGCTCAACAGCCAGACTTCTTGAGGAATCTCTGCAATTACAATTAAATTTCACTTAAAACAGTCTGAACACCATTTCCAGAAGTAGATTTATTGTGTAATATGAGAAAACACAAACTGATTTTAAAAAAATATGAATTGCCATTTCTAAGTACTCCCTGATGTGGGAGGCCGGGGTACTTCTGGAAGACATTGAAGGGGAGACCCTGGAGACCTAAACCTGTAGGGCTTGGGTGAAGGAGCAATGCTTGGCTCTGTTTTGGAACAAAGACAATAAAAGAACATGAGTTCTAACCCTGCAGCAACATCTTAGTGTAGAGATACCTAAGGCACTTGTGTGCACCTTTACTTTCCTCTGTGCGCAGCAAATGTCACCAAACAGTAGAGACTCTTTCCAGAAGGAACTATGTACCTCTTCTTGCCAAGGCACTCCACATAGCCACTTCCAGACTATCTGGGCAATCGACTGGAGAGGTTGGAGGGGTGGGGAGGAGGAGGGGGAGGGATTGGTTTGCTATCCTTGGTCCAGAAGATTAGAGAATGTTTTGAATGAGGTCAGGAGTTTCAGACGGTGACTCAAGCCCTCCCTGCTTTCTTCCTTCCTGACTAGATTTCTCTCCAGTACCTTTCTGGAGGGTCATGGTACCACACCTGTGGGGGGACCCTCATTCGACGCAACTGGGTGATGACAGCTGCTCACTGTGTGGACAGGTGAGGAAACAGTGGGAGTTTTCCAAGCTCCTGGGAGGACTCTGACTGACCCTTCTAGAAGAATCTGTAACTTGGACTTCTCTGGGCAGGCTGGCAGTGGGCACTGCTGAGCCCGATTGTGTTTGGGGGTCACTGAAGGGACAGTATAGAGAAAGTACAAGTTTTGGAGTCCAGCAGGTGCAGGTTCAAATCTCATTCCAGCATCTTCTGGCTGTGTGACCTTCTCTGCTCTCCCAGTCTCTCGTCTCTGAAATGGGAGAATATCACTGACAACTGAGGTGACACTTAAATGCTGACGTCAGCATCTGAGAATTGGTCATTTTCCATGTTTGTATCAAGCAATAGTTTACTTTTTTAAAAGAATGTACCCGGCAGTGGTGATGCATGCCTTTAATCCCAGCACTCGGGAGGCAGAGTCAAGCAGATCTCTGTGAGTTCAAGGCCAGCCTGGTCTACAGAGTGAGTTCCAGGACAGCCAGGATACACAGGGAAACACTGTCTTGAAATACCAAAAAAAAAAAAAAGTTAGAATGTATTACTATTGCTATTACTACTGGTATTTGGTATTGTATGTGTGTGAACGAGTGTGTGCATGTTGCAGGGGCCACATGGCGTGATGTACGTATAGAGGTCAGAGGACAACTTTGTGGAGCTGATTTTCCCATCCCAGGCATAGAACTCAGGTTGCCCTGTTTACATAGCAAGCATCTTTATTCACTGAACCACTTGCCTGCCCAGTTTCCAGATTTGAACAAATATTAGAGTCACATGTAAAACACCAATTGGTGGGACTACTCAGCAGAGCTCTGATATGACAAGTCCCCAGTGAGGCCTGATAACTGTATTTCGGGCAGGGGCAGCATTCATGAGTGTACAAATGTACACAGGTGTGTGGTTGCCCGTACAGGCATTTGTGTAGGTCTGAGGTCAACATCAGGAAGTCTTCCCCAATCACTTCTCCACCTTATTTTTTGAAAGATTCACTCACTGAACCTGGAACTTGATGTTTTGACTAGGCTGGGCAGCGAGGCCCTGGGACATGTCTCTGCCTCAGTGCTGGGGCCAGAGGCAGCACCCCATGCTTAACAATGAACCTTTTTCCCACTGAGCTATTTCTCAGACCCCATCAAGTTCCAAGTGACACTAATGGTGCTGGTTCAGGACCACACTTTAGGAGTTAGTTACTGGTTTAAGCAGTGTATAGTGATTTGCACCTGCAACCCTGGTACAGCAGGCCAAGGCAGGGGGGTTGAGGGTTTGAAGCCAGCCTGGGATGAGACCAACAACAACACATACATAATACATACATACATACTACATGCACATACATACATACACACACACGTGTGTGTGTGTGTGTGTGTGTGTGTGTGTGTGTGTGTGTGTGTGTGTGTGTGTGTGTGACCTATAGGTTTATTTCCCTCACAGCTAGGTACCAAGCACTATCACAACCGACCTAGACTGCTGTTAGCTTAATAAGCTGGAAATGTGCAGCTGATTGTTTTTGTTTTGTTTTGTTTTGTTTGCTGCTGCTGCAAGTTGGTAGCTTCAGGGAATGAGAGGCTTGTTGGGTTCTCACCTTCAAAGATCTCTTGCCCGCCTCTATCCAGGCCAGACAAACTGAGTACGCATCCCAAAACACACTGTCACCCACTTTCCTCCTTCCCTCTAAGAGGGGAAGGAGATCCCTCAGATGTCTTCTTTCTCTCCAGCCAGAGGACTTTCCGTGTGGTTGTTGGAGATCACAACCTGAGCCAGAACGACGGCACCGAGCAGTACGTGAGTGTGCAGAAGATTGTGGTGCACCCCAACTGGAACAAGAACAATGTGGCTGCAGGGTACGAAGGAGGCGGAGCCAGCCGTGGTGTTGGGGCAGGGGCTGCCTGGCCACAGGGGATGGAGTGGTGGCCTGAAACTTTGTGTGTGGCTTTTGTAGCCTGGCCTTGTTGAATAGTGGGTGGAGCCTGGGAGAGAGCACCATGTCCTGCCACAGACCATGTGCTGGCTTGTCCACCAGGAGTACTGGACCTGAGTGTCAGGAGTTTCAGGTCTGCCCAGTTGAAAAGTGTGAGGACTTTTCTCTTTTAATGTCTCTGTTTTTCTGGGGGTGGGTATTTTGGTTTGTTTTTGGTCTTTTGAGACAGTCTCTCATGTAACTCAAGCTGGCCTTGAACTCACTGTGTAGCAGAGGTTGCCACCATGCCTAAGTACTGGGATTCTAGGAGCACGGCAACACACAGTGCTTCGTTTGTTCTTTGTTCTTTATTCTCTTTATGGTATATACTTCAACTGTAGAAGGAAATTTTGTTTGGTTTTGGCTTGGCTTTGGTATGGGAGAAGGAACCCTCGAGCCTTGAACATACAGGCAAATACTCTACCCCTGAGCCACACCTCATCCCCTGGGGAAATTCCTTAAGGTGGGTTGTAAAGTTTTGGAAAGGCAATCATTGACATGGTAGTTAGGGGAGAACTGCCCTCAAGGGACAGTCTTATAAGCACAGCACTTGAGCAGTTAAGGCAGAATGATCAGGTGTTCAAAGTCATTATCTGCTACATAGCTAGATCATACCACCTGCTTTTTTATGGTTCTGGCTGTCCACCACCCCAGGTTGCAAAGCAAAGCCAGGCTGCAATTCCAACATCCTGCCAGCAGGGGCTGCTGTTACACATCTAATGTCGGGCAGCTCAACTGCATCCAAGTTTGCTCCTCCTTAAAGGTTGTGTGTGTGTGTGTGTGTGTGTGTGTGTGTGTGTGTGTGTGTGTGTGTG